TTCGGTCTTGTGGCATTCTTTGTAATGAACTGCCCTTTTTGAGCAAAGGTGGGGCAGCATCTCCTCCCGGGGTCAGTGGACTGCAGCTCCCGGGATCCTGCATTCTTGACTCTCAGCTCTCTGGATCTGTGAGTGTTGCAGTCTGTCTGTCTGTCTTGGCTTTACAGGAAAACCAGAAGGAAGTTCCTTTGGGGGAGTGATAAACCCGCATAGGATATGCTGATAATAATAATTTTTTTATTTGCGAAGGCTTTTATTTCTCAGCCAGCACGACCACCGATTACAGCTGAAATCTCTGGACGCAGCCTCCGGCAATGGTTCCAAGGCACCAGACCAATAAGCCCCCAACCTCCAGCAAGCCAGCCGGGAGAATCATAGGACAGCAGATGATCAGAGCACAAAGAAGCTGAAGCCATGCGAGGTGGCCCTCTGGCTGGGAGCTGTAGCCCAAAAAAAGGAAAACTTTCCAAGCTCGGGGTGTCAAAGAGCTACCTAGGTTTCTACTTCGTACGACAGCCCGGCCGGCACTTTGGAACGCCATGATAAACAACATTAAAACAAAATGCAAACAGACCTTTACCGGCTGCCTCAGTCAGATGCTTGTTTAATGAAATGTTCCGTTCACACATGTCCAGAAGATCTTCACCAACATCTTAAAAGAAAAAAAAATTAAGAAGCTAGTACTTTTGAATTGATGAACGAAATGAACAGCAAGTAACATACACAGAAAAGACCGCAGTTTCCCGTTTCTCCCAACTGACCTTGGCTCTTATCAATTCAACTTGAAATGAGACACTTTTTGAGGTCTTTAAAAAGATGCCATTGATCTACTGTATAACCTTAGAACTAGAGAGCTGGAAGGGACTTTATAGATCACGAAGTCCAGCCGCTGTCAAGAAGGCCCCGTGGGGGAATCGAACTCCCAACCTCAGCCAGAGGCCTCAACCACTTCAGCAGTTCTTAATAACAATGACCTTAGAACTGCAGAGCCGGGAGGGACCCTATGGGATCATCCAGACCAGCCCCTGTCCAGGAGGCTCCGTGGGGGAATCGAACTCCCAACCCCTTGAGAGGCTGGTGTCGCCCAAGCCTCTGGACACCCGAACGGTCCCTGAGCCGCCTTCCTGCTGCCTCGGTTCCCAACCTCCCAACCCCGGATGTCCTTGGACTGCAACTCCCAGAAATCCTGGCTCGTACCACTAGCGGTTGAGGCTTCTGGGTGCTGTAGGCCGAGATCTTCGGACGCTCACGGTTGGGAACCATCGCCCTCGTATCCTCTGGCTAGACAGAAAGGTGGCTGCAGTGCAGAAATCCAGGATGAAAGCCGTGTATTTATTTATTTATTGAAAAGACTTTTGAAACCCACCTCTCTCCTAAAAAAGGACCCAAGGGGGGTGGGGAATAACGACAATGAAGAGACTGTCTTCCAGGTCGTAACCAGGCGCCTGCAATACGTAAAGGATCCATGAATGTGATACCAAAACCCATAATGCTTTTATTAAGCCAGCTGCAAAATAGTGCAGGTGCTTTCCAGATTTCCGGGCCAATGGAAGCGGAGAGGGAGGAGGGACGGGACCGAAGGCGAGATGGCCGTGGTCTTGCCAGGGGTATGGCGCCCTGTCTCCGGACAAAACCCTGAATCAAGTGGGCCCTGTCCATCTGCCCTGGAGCCCTCTGACACTCTCGGCCAAAGAACAGCCGACTTCTGCTCCTCTTTGAAAATGCTCACATTAATCCTACCAGACCGTAGGACCCGGGGATGTCGGCAAGTCTCCCCATCGCTGGCAGGACGTGGTACCAAAGATTCGAACCCAGGACTCGGTCCCAAAGTCTTGCCCACCTCCCCGGTTGCCACCGTGCCCTGCCCTATCAGATATACTTCTTGGACTGACGGGGGAAACGGCCCTCCCCTCGGCCTTTCCCTCCCTGCCCCGGTTCCCTGCTTCACCGCGCTTCCTCCATTCTCCATGCGGAGCGGGTCCTGCTCCCTTTCCCGTCCGCCTGACGTGTTTTCAGCTTCAGTTTCCTCCGCCCGCCCCAGCCCCTGAGCTCAAAGTAACCTTGGGCCCGTCGTCCCTTCTTTCAGCTTGGCCAACCTCGAAAGGGTTGCGGGGAGGATAAAGTAGGAAAGAGAGCCGTGCGTTGCTACCTTCGGCTCATTAGAAAGAGGCGGGATGTATATGGAATGTACATCTAACTTGTTCTATTTGTACTGCGTCCACGGTTTAAAATTGAGTATCGATCTTGTATCGCCCATCTATCTATGCCCTTTGAAACCCCATTTGCAAATTGACGTAGGTAATAATTAGTGATGTACCGTGGCTTCTCTCCCTCCCTCCCTCGTTCTCTCTCTGCAGAAGATGTTCACGCCTGCTTTGCCTCCAGATATCCTGGTGAACTTTTACATCAACCTGAATAAGCTGTGCTTGACCGTCTACCAGTTGCATGCGCTGCAGCCCAGTTCCACTAAGGTATTGGAAAGTTTCCTGTTTAGGGGGTTATTCTAAAAGGCAAACGTCTTGTGTGTGTGTGTGTGTGTGTGTGTGTGTGTGTGCGAGAGAGAGAGAGAGAGAGAGAGAGAGAAGCGTTCGTTTCAGCTTCAGCCAAAAGAGCTTATATTGACATACATCCCTCCACCATGATGGTATTTTCTAAGTTCTCCCCTTTCTTTTTCTCTTTCCATTTGCTATTAAAATGGCAATAACTTTTCCAAAAGGCTCCCCATGAAGGCTTTGCAGCTGAGAGCGGTAGGTGAGGAGGGCTAAGGATGATGGGAGTTGTAATCCGGCGCATCTAGAAGGTGCCGCATCCTGGAAAGCTTCCCTCTAGCAAGGAGGGTTGAGAAAGAGTGTGTCACACAAGCTCTGCTGAGCTGGGTCGGTTTCTGCGTTTTTGAAACCTGCACTTTGAGAGACGCAGGGGATCTCAAACGAGGCACCCGCTCCTTGAGAATCTGCCCCCATTTTAACCGAAGTAAGGAAAGCGGTCCCGTCTTTGCACTGACCTGGCTGTGAGGAGCAACTGCTAACAAGCCGGGTGTGTCCACCAGCTGGGGGTCCCGGAGGACGTGCTTGGCAGGCGGGTGCGCCCAACAGCCTGGTGGCATTGCCAGGCTGAGCTGGGAAAGAAGCGGGCCTCGAACCACCCTGCTGAAATACCCCCAGATAGCCAGAGGGACCGGTGGTTTGGACTTGGCATAAGGCAGCATCTTCTGTGCGTTTAAAATGTGGGACTCAGTGGCCTCTCATAAACCAAGAGCCCACTTCGCACGGGCGTATAACGTATGGTTTGCAAAGCTTACCTTTATCCTTCTGGTATCCCTATTAACAGTACAGTAGGATACCTATACAGGTATCTGTGAGGGATTGGGTCCAACGACACACCCACCCACCCCGTGGATGCTGAATAACGCAGGTTATAGCAAACGCTAGCCCCAGCATGGTCTCTGGCTCACTCTAGTGGCTGGTTTTGTTAATGATGTCGTGGAAATATATTTCTCGAGCGAACGCTATATACATGGTCTGGTCCCTGGCTCCCTCTGGTGGCCAGTTCTGGTAATTTTGCCTTTAGAGATATATACGACCCACCCACCCCGTGGATGCTGAATAACGCAGGTTATAGCAAACGCTAGCCCCAGCATGGTCTCTGGCTCACTCTAGTGGCTGGTTTTGTTAATGATGTCGTGGAAATATATTTCTCGAGCAAACGCTATATACATGGTCTGGTCCCTGGCTCCCTCTGGTGGCCAGTTCTGGTAATTTCGCCTTTAGAGATATATACCGTATTTCTAAGATTTTTCTTTTAATATTTTCAGACTGTGGATCAGCGGATACTGAGTCTGTGGATAAGAGGGTCCTACTGTACATTTGTGTTTGTGGAAATTGAAATACTTGTGGAAACAAAATCGTGAAAACTGTTTTCTTATTTGAAATCTCACCAGGCCGTCTTTTCCTTCCTTCCTTTCTCCCTTCCTTCCAGAATTTCAGACCTGCTGGCGGGTCCATCCTCCACAACCCAGGGGCCATGTTGTAAGTACCGTGCTCACGTTTTTGGAGGGGTGGCCCGTCCTCGTGGCAACGTCCTGTCCGCCCAGCCACCCCTCCTCGTTTCTCTCCGCAGTGAGTACAACAACCAGAGATATGAAGTCAGCCATGTGCACAAGGTGGAGTGCGTGGTGCCCTGGCTGAACGATGCCCTCGTTTTCTTCACGGTGTCCCTGCAGTTATGCCAGCAGCTAAAGGACAAGGTGAGGGTGGGAGGAAAAGAGGAGGTCGTAGGGGAGGTGGCTGGTGATCACTGTATTGCGCATCAATATATCTCCATCAGGTTGCTGGGAGAGTAGACCCCCGTATCCATGGGGGTTTCAGTTCCAAACCCCACTCCCTGTGGATGCTGAAAAACATTTTGATAGCAAAGACTCTACCTAGCATGATCTCCCGTGGATCCAGGAGTCCAACTGTAGATGTGTTTAGAGTTCACGCTATCCTATTTAATTGTTGTTTTAAAATCTGTGTATAATATATTGTGAGCCGCCCTAAGTAGACTCCTGTCTAGAAGGGCGGGATAAAAATCCAATAATAAATAAATTAAATTAAATAAATTGTTTTTATTTGGTAGGACCTTTGCTAGAGTAACAGTACTGATCTGGATAGTCCCGGGCTCTCCCTTGGTAGGGCACGGCTTCACAGATCATGTACCACTTAAGGGAGGCACTTCCACCAAGAAGATGAAGCGAAGAAAACAACTCCAAACAAATAAATTCTCCTTGTCCGCAGCCGCAACCCTGATTCCGAACGCTTTCCCTGTGACTGTTTTCCAGATTGCGGTGTTTTCCGGCTACTGGAACTACAAGCTCTACTGATCCTGCCTCCTGACGGGTCCACCTGCCGTTTCAGTCCCTCTCTTCCCGAGACGAGATCGTTGCATAAGCTGCGTTTGTGAGATGTTCCTGCCCTCGTGCGGGTGGGCGGCTGCCGGGCAGGGCGTCCCTCCCGGAGCAAACAGCTTCGGCTGCCGAATGTCACTCTGTATTTAGCACTTTAGAAATACTCCCATGTCATGTCCATCACTTCTGGCGCGTAGGCTCGCCCTCTGAACCGTTGACAGATCCCACCCTGCTGGAGGGAACAGATGTGATTATGGGGGGGAAACAGGGACCATACCGCGAGACCTCCTTCCCCCCCCCATGCCTCTGCTCGGCAGGAGTGTCTTCATAGTTACCATTCCTACTGTACAGATTCCTTACCCTATTCTGGATTTGGGATCACAGCCATCTCCTCTTGAGTTTTTGCACAGATGTGATGATTCATCTCCATCCCGAAGCTCCAGGGCCATAGGGAACAATTCTCTTTCGGTGTGTGTGTATGTGTGTGTTAAAATCTCCTTTTAAGAAGCGGACGCGCCCATCTTGACTAGGTCTTCCACGAGACGTTTTCTGACGCGCCCTGCCACCAAATAATGTAAGTTATAAATCGGGTCCTGGTGGTCGAGGCGTCCGGTTGCTGCTAAACCTGTGATAAATTATTTCTCACCCTTCTCTGTTGTCGTGAAATAAAAGTCCCCTCAATATTGTGATGGGCTTTCTGTATCTTTCTGCAGGGATTTTTTTGGGGTGTGTGTGCGTGATCCCCTTGACAGCTGGGTGTGAGAGAGGCGAGAAGCAGATTGGACACCCAAGTTGCACCAAAGAGGCCTTAAAACAGGGCAACTGGGTAGATCTACTCGGATCCGGATAAAAACTCCATACCAAGATGATTCTGAAGCCTACGCTGCACGAATAATCATATCTATTTGTGCCTCCTGTGTTGTGTTCCTCCCGTCAGCGGACGAAAAGCACATTCTTTATCACACACGTATTGGACGTGCCAAGATAACTCGAAAAACGGTGTCTTGTGTTCCTGTTGAAATCAAGTGGTTTTATTCAGCATAAATAGCCATTCCCATAAGAAACAAAGATTCACAGCGATGGCAGCTCTATTAATACAGCAGGATGAGAAAATATATCAAGCGTGTCAGCTCATGGAGCCCCCCCCCCAGTCCTCTGCACCCTTTTCTGGGAGAGGCTGAGTTTACAATTAATTTCAGCAGAGAAAAAACCAGCGAGCGCCAACGCTGGGGAGCCACGTTCCTCCGTTTCAGCAAGACTTAAGGCTCCAGGCCCATGTTATCGATGCCAACTTTTTTCCTGGGGATCTGGGAATGAGAAACGGAGATAATTAAGAGTTTCAGACGAGCCTATGGCTACCGGAGAAGCATCTGTGGCCTTCCCAATTACGATCGGCTGTGTGGTGTCGTGGACAAGAGTGACGGACTCTAGGGGCTCTGGAGCACAGGGTTCGAATGCTGGGTCAGCCCTGCGATTGCCTTGGGAGAGTGGCGCTGGTAAAACCACTGCTTAAATATCTCGCTTATCTTGAAAGGCCCATGAGGGTTGGTATAAGTTGGTTCCGACTTGACAGCACGCAATACACACACACACACGGGACTCCCATTATCCTTAGAGTGAGGCCTCAACATCTCAAGATCATGGGTTCCACCCCCTGTGCACTAGAGAGAAGAGGGTCCCTTCAAAGACTTGAGACGTAAATCTAACACCGTTCTGATGTCCAGCATAAATGCCGCTTAAAACATCAGGGTCAAGCATCCTATTCAAGTTGCTCTCGGCTGTGAAACGTCCTGCGTTTAATGTATATGCCAGTAGAGCCATAGCTGTGGAGTTAAGCATGGCAGGATTTACAGTGGTGCCCTGCTTAACAATTACCCCGCTTGACGATGAATCCGCTTCCCGACTGTTTTTGTGATCGCAAAATGATGTTTTAATGGGCTTTTTTCGCTTCCTGACGATCGGTTCCCTGCTTCGGGAACCGATTCTTCGCATTACAATGATCAAAACAGCTGATCGTTGGGTTTTCAAAATGGCCTCCGGCTGCTCAAAATGGCTCCCTGCTGTTTTTAGGAGGCATTTTTCGCCACACAGGCCCCTGAAAATGTCCGCCCTACTGAGGATCTTCGGTGGACAAGCAGGTATTTCACCCATTGGAATACACTGAACGGTTTTCAATGCGTTTCAATGGGCTTTTTAATTTCGCTTGACGAGGATTTCGGTCTAGAGCAATTTTGCTAGAACGGATTATCCTCGTCAAGCGAGGCACCACTGTATTCCAGTTTGTTAAAAAGCTGGACGTGCTATTTTCTGGCCTGGAAAAAAAAGTGGAGTGAAATGGAAGAGTCGCCCTAGTCTGGCTCTACGACACGACCCTGGATGTGTCGGGTGCATAAAGCCATCCTGAACCGCTGTCTTGCAAGGACGCACAAAACAGTTGGCACATATGTTTTTGCGAGGGCAGGTTGTGGAGCTGAGTTGGGGGATCTGCACCCCGGTTTCTCCAGCGACACAAGCCTCCCCCCAGTTCTTACCTACCGGAGGGTTGTCAGGTTTCTCGGAGTGCGCGGTGAGCCCCGATCCTCCCTGACACCGCCTTCCCCAGAAGGAAAGGGATCAATCCAAAGGGCAGAGGCTCCTACCCCTGCGTAGGCTCCACACCCGAGCAAGATCCCAGGAAAACCGGGAGCCGAGAAACCGTCCAGTCCCCTTTTCCCTGGAAAGGGTGACGTCCGAAGCCATTCCTTACCTTGTTGTAGGATCTGGGAGAGTCGCACTCGCAGCAGCAGCAAAAGCAGCGGATCAGAACGAGGAAGGCCAACAAGAGGATCACGCCTGGCAGAGAGAGAGAGAGAGAAAGTCATAACGGGTGTGTCACTTCGTGAGGTCCTTGAGAAGCAGAACGGGTACAGAGAGCCCCTGCAGCTTCTCTCAGGCCACGCCGTGGGATGTGCTTCTAAAGTGCGTTTTATTATTTTTATATGCCTTGTTTAAGCTGATCGTAAACCACTCGGAAAGGTGCATCTGCACGTACGGGGCAGCCGACTAAACAAACGAATAAAGAAGAGGAAAGGATAGGTTCATTTTTGTTTGGAAGAAAACAGTCAATACAGAATTCCAAAGAGCCCTCCATGTGTTCTGATGGGGCATTTTAGTCCTTCATAATCCCATTCCGTTGCGGAATTCACGCAGAACCGGGTCCACCAAGGAACCCTTTCTATGACACAATCACTGGAAAAGTTGTCAACAGTGCCATCCCCCATGTTTCGGTCGCTTTCCACGCAACCGCCTTGTTTTAACAGACAAAAAACCCCAGAAGGGACAGAAAGGACCCTAATAAAATGTTATATTGAGCTTTTCCTTTTTTTACCCAGTCGAGAAAAGTCAAAACTTGAGCTGTTTTTGCCATCTTGCAAAAGTGACCTTCTCTGGTTGTTAGCAGGTTGGTCGTAGGGGATATCCGGGGGGTGGGAAGAGACCTGAGAATTCTTGGCGTGTTTAAGAAATACAAGTTATATTTGAAACCCAGCCCTTTGCACCATCCACATGGCTTATCCTCAGAGGTCAGGAAGAAAATAATCCTGATTCATGAGAATTACTGTCAACAGCCAGTGGCCCTTTCTTTGCCGCCTTGGGAGTGCTTTTTGGATTTTTTACATCCAAGCCAAAACATCTGATGTACCCAAGTTATGAAGAGTCAGTTTTCTTCTATCTGTAAGTGAAGAATGCTAAGGTTAAGAAGTGAGCATGACCAATTCAAGCCACAGAATCCCCTTCCCGCCCCCAACATACCTATGAAGGTAAAAAAAATAGCAAAGGCTACGATGTCCCAGGTGGACTGGAACATCTCTTTGCTTTCCAGCCGGCTCAGAACGTCGTTGATCTGATCACTTAGCTCTTGGCCAAAATCTTTGCCCGAAGATCCCATTTTCTAAGCGTGTTCTCAACAATACTGCTGACTCTGCAAAGAGAGAAGAGGCAAGTTCTGGACACCGTCTTGAAATCAGACCTAACCAAGGACCAACCCATTCATTCATTCATTCATTCATTCATTCATTCATTCATTCATTCATTCATTCATTCATTCATTCATTCATTCATTCCTCTTTCTACCCCAGACACATGCACACACATAAAATTCCCAAATTTTATTCCAAAATTTACTCCCAAAATTCCTTTCTGCTACCAATTGCTCCGAGTGGCTTACACCCAACATAAAACAGGATTAGAAAGAGCACACCAAGACCAGGTTCAATGGTGAAACCATTAAAATCAGCTTAGTTTTCTAGAAAGAGATAACTGAAATCATGATGGCCTTAACAGGTTCATAACGATGCGTGTGTGGATTTACATACTATTTTGGTCAAGCCAAACGAGTAACCGTTTTCTGGAGAGGATGGTTCCGGTTCAAAAATCTCTTGTCTGGGGACATTCACAAGCGAGTTTTCTAGAGAGGTAGTTCTGTAAAACCTTTGCAAAGAAACCATCTTAAGAGCGACCTCTTGAAGCCCAACAACATTTTATTTTGCCAGCTGTTGTGGTCTGCCACCCACACATTTGCAGGCCTCCTGAGATCATATGGAGTGCCTCTCATGAAGAGGGCTCCAGCCCAATCATCATCATCATCATCATCATCATCATCATCATCATCAATAGTGTGCACCCAGGCAGTTCTGACTTGTGGCTACTCTTTTCAGCGTTTTCTAGGTAGAGAATACACAGAAGTGGTTGATGATTCCCTTCTGCTGGGGGTCAGTTCACAGACTGTGCAGCTGGCCCAGGGCTACCCAGGCTGGCTCTTCTCCCAGGAGGCCCAGTGGAGCACTCGAACTCCCAACCTCTACTTAAACCACTGAGCTATCCAGCCAACACAACTTTTTTTCAGCTTCCCCCCCCACACTTTTGTTTCATGCTCCTTCATAGATTTCCTCGCCGCTCGTTTCTTAATGGCCCGGACCCTAAACCACCCTCACGTTCTCCCTGCAAATTCCACAGGAGGATTTATTGACAACACTTGAATATTGCCTTTGTTCAGGATGGCATTTCCCGCATTGCAAACCAGGGCTAATCTTCAAATTCAATTCGTGCTCAGTCACTGCCGGTTCAGATGCCATTAGCATATATATGAATGCACGATGCTTTTCCCCTTCGGGGGTCAATTTACTCTTGTTCAACTACGTTTGCTGTGCCGAGGCTTATTTCTCCTGCCTGAAAAGACCCTTCTGGGGTTTTTACACTGTCCTTCTGATTTATCCCCTGCCGCCATGATTTCCTCCTATCGGCTGCATCACTGCTCACCCTAACTCTTCATCGTTGATGAACAAAATTAAAAGCCATAACGTCCAGCCTAGATCCTTGGGGAGGGGTGTGTGTGGAAGTCCTCAAGATGTTTGCATCTGTCCACGGACCGTGTTTGCTTCTTCCTCTTTCTCTGCTGTCTGGTCCTCGCCTATTCAACTTAAAAGAAATCACTTCTGGTCTTGGGCGGGAGGCTTCACTCAGCAGCCCTTAAACGATCATCATCAAGTCAATTCTGAGTGATGGCAACTCTCCTGGGTTTTCTCGGTGCAGAATACAAATAAGTGCTTTACCTTTGCCTTCCACTCGGGGGCGCCCCGGATCGACGCAGCTTGCCCAAGGCTACGAAGGCCGGCTGTTCTCCTAGGAGGCCTTGTGGGGGAATCGAACCCCCAACCTTTCGCTCCACATTCGGAGACCTCAACCACACAGATTTCCAGCCAGCTTCAGCAGACTTGACTGAGATGATTTCCTCTCCTTTTTCTAACTGCACACCTATCTGTGTGGTGTTTTTTTTTGGAGGGGGGGACGAGTTAGGGTTATTGCTGTTGATTTTAGCGTCTGTTTTTATTTTCCATTTTACATGTGGTCACCTGCCCAGAGTAGTGCTGTGATACTAATGGGAGCGGGATACAAATTGAGTAACCAAATAAATAAATATCCATTTTTCCACTAATTGCATGGGGGGGGACCCTGATAGATTTAATCTGCTCCCAGTTGGAAAGCCTGTTTTGCCTTGACCTTCAGTCTAAGCTATTTGGGGTCCTGGGAGAAAAAAAACGGCTTTTCACCTGCCCCTCACCTGTTCTCAGGTGTGTGAAGATGATGAAACGAAGGCTGCATGGCGAAGGCCCTGGCACTGGGTTCAATCCCTGTCCCCACGGCCCCGGCCACCCACAGACCAGGAGATGAGAGGGGAAAGCCAGGTTTCCTCAAAGGAAAACAAGAAACGAGGACGGCACGGAGGCGGTCACCAAAGAACAGCGGCTTAGCTTTCAAGAAGGAGAAAACACCCAGAAAAATGAAGAAATCACCCCCTTACTCACATCTCCGAATCTCGATTCCTGGGTGGAAGCAATGGCCTGGAAGCCCCTTCTCGGCTCTCTCGCTCTTCCTGCTTTTGAAATGAGCAAGGTTTCTTCACCGCCACTTCCTTGTTCTTCTCCGTGCCAAGCACCAAAGGCAACTCACAAACTTATAACTCCCAGGGCTTCCGCGAAAAAACAGACACACCCTCCCCGGCCAGGCAAGGAAGGGGAAAAAAAACCACCTGGAGTGTTTGCTGCATTACACCAGTGAGATTCTTTGGGGGTTTTTCCCCCTCCCCACAGGCCTGCACCTGCTGCCAAACCCTCTGAGCCTGTTCTCTAGCGGTGATGTACGGAAACGGACTCCAGGGTTCTGGGTTCAAATTCCGCCCGGGCCATGGAACTTCGCCTTCCAGATGGCCCCCTGAAGGGAAATGTGCAGGAGTCAAAGAGACATGACCCAGAGCTCTTTGGAAGGAAAGCGGCACAGACTCATCCTCTGGGGAGGTACCCCTGAGGGTCATCTATCCCAACCTCCTTCCCAATGCTAGCCGAAGCCTAACAAATGTGTAAATGTCACATATGTGCGCAAGAAGAAGACACGGCAACTCCTGTTACCCAGTGGACAGGGCTGGTCTCGGTTTCAAAGACCGGCTGGGGTAGGACAGCAGGGTGTGGGGGGGGTGGACCAAAGTTGTTTGTGGGTGCATGCGCAGATGGGGGTGCGCGCATGCATGAGCAGGGATTTGAGGCTGGTCCTTATCCAGCACTACCAGCCATGGAGAAGTTGCGAAGTGATTCTGGCTCTTGCGTGTCGTCAATTCAGAACCGACGTACGACGGCCGTAATAGGATCTTCACGGTACGTGAGGTATTTAAGGGCTTGTTTTACCAATTCCATGCCTTCCCCCAGTTGAGTTCCCGTGGCCCAGCCGGGGGATCAAACCCAGCTGGATCTTCACGGTACGTGAGGTATTTAAGGGTTTGTTTTACCAATTCCGTGCCTCCCCCCAGTTGAGTTCCCGTGGCCCAGCCACAAATGAGTTAGCCTATATGCAAACAAGGCTTAAATGTATGAAAAGTGAAATATATGTATGACAAAAAATGTTTTGAATGACCAATAGGGGGCAATCTTGCGTTGTTTAATTTCGAACCGAGCTGGCTTAGAAGCAGAAAGCGGAGATGTCAACCTGGTTTGGTTTATTGATAGGTTTGGTAGTTCCCGGAATTTGTGATTTTTAGCACAACCAGGATGTGGAAAAAGTGTGCGTTTTTTTAAAAAAAAACATCCAGGGAACCGTTGGTAGTTCCCGGAATTTGTGATTTTTAGGACAACCAGGATGTGGGAAAAGTGTGTTTTTTAAAAAAAACATTCAGAAGCCTTCACCCCTTGTTGTGTTGACCAGGATTTCTGGGAGTTGCAGTCCAAGAACATCGGGGAAACCATGGTTGGTAAACCGTTGTTTTAAACTAGAGCTGGGCACGAACCACCCGGTTCGACAGTTTGCGTCCGTTTTGTGTTTTTTTTATCCAAATAGGCGTTTCACGCTTCCCAGCCCCGCCTCCTCTGTCAGACACTCACTAAGAGGCAGGGCACAAAGGAGGCAAGGCAGTGCATCCAGAAGGCTGCCTGCTGCAGGAGGCAGAGCTGGGAAGCACCAAAGTCCTGTTTGTACGAGCACGAACCAGCACGAACCGCGAAACTGATGGTTCGTGCCCATCTCAACTCTAAACCTTTGGCTCAGGAGTGGTAAACGTGGAGATGTTCTTTCTTTCTTCATACCAGAGACGTCACAGCACAATTAGTAAACTTATCAGTTTTTTTTTTTCACCCAGTAACAGGCAAGATCAGACAGAGCAGTTAGAGCTATGTTTTCCATGGTAACTGTTGCAGAGGTTTGACCCTCCTGAGGTTCCATCCATTTTAAGAGACGAGTCGTTCTTTCTTTTCATATTGAAGTCCCAGCATGTCCTGCTCTTCCTCCAAGATTCACAGATGCGGGGGCAGGAAAAAAACACATTTTTCCTTGATTTTAATCTGAGAAGGGCAGGACTGTAGCCAAAGAGTGGATGCTGTTTTGAGTCTTTCATTATTAGCCGCTACCTCTTGTTGTATGTCTCTGGCTGCGGAGCCAGTGGTTGGGAGTTCCATTCCCCCACGGGGCCTTCTTGACAGGGGCTGGACTGGATGATTTATAGGGTCCCTTCCAGCTCTGCCGTTCTACAGTTACAAGGTCCAAAAGCCAGGGTGGCTGACAATTGTTGGACAGACAAGTAAATCCAAACAAGATAAAATACTGATAGAAAATAAATCTCTACTGATAGCAGAACTGCCTACGAACTTTTAAGAATGCAAATACAAGAAACAGACTGTGGAACATTGTGTTAGTATGAGAGATGGAAAAAGACAGAAAAACATTCCCTTCTTTGCAGTCTCTCCGTGTGCCTCATATTTTACCCTTCCTCTCCTGTTTCTCACTCCACGTTCAAAAATATACCTTCGGCTCTTTGAAGCCTTGTGCCAAGAGCACTGGATGCAGGTAGGAATCAAACCATCGACCAGGTCCAGCAGACACTCACAACACGAACTTACTTTTACATGCACTTGTATAAAATTTTTTCTTTTCCCACTCTAAATCATACAGTAGGGCCCCTGTATCCACGGGATCAGAATCAATGGTTTCACTTATCCACGGTCTGAAAATATTAGAAATATAAAAAGAAAAAGAAAAAAATAACATTTGCATGTTTTACCATAACCAACCACTAGAGAGAACCAGAGAATGTGCTATGAATGCTTTTTAGTGAAGCCTACATAGTATGCTCTCTGGCACCCTCTAGTGGCTAGTTCTGGTAACATTATTAAATGTATATACATTGGGATTTTTTTAATAATATAAGTGAATCAGTGGATACTGATCCCGCGGATAAGGGGGTCCCACTGTATTTTGACTTTAGATAGGTCTGCTCTGAACAATGATGCATCTAAAACAGCTTCCAAGGTTTCTTGGCCAAGGCGTTCATCTCCTTCCTGTGCTTCTTTTCCTATTTATCTCACCCCCCCAAAGGAGCTGCTATGACCGTCACACGTCTCTGTCTTCAGTATTCAGCAAGAGAGGACAAGGAGGAGAAGCAGAATCTTAGAAGTGCAGAGCGGGCAGGGACTCTGTAGATCCTCAAGGCCGGCTCATGTCAAAGAGGTACAGTGGGGAAAATCAACTCCCAACTCCGTAGCCAGAGACCTCAATTGTTGAGTTCTCCAGCAGTTCGCCGATACAGGTTTTTCCCCCCCTCTTTCTGGGCAATCAACGCTTTTAGCTTGTGACGTCTCGGAGGCTATACAACCTCTCGCTCTGAGAGAGGGTTTGCTTGCAAATGAATAGCATCAGCCCTGCTGGAGCGATGTAGCGAGCGTCTTCTGCAAGATGCGGCTGGGCCACCTCGTAGCCGTCCGAGATCGGAGACTGGCCTAAGGCCGCCCATCTGGGGCCTCACCTTTGAAGACGTCATTGGCCCGTACGCGGAGCAGCAGGCGCAGTGGCTGGACTTATCTGATGTGACAAGCGAACAAAGCAATGTGACGGCTTGTTTACGGCTTGGTGCTTCCCCCCCCCCTGCACATTGATCTGGGCCCAAAATTTAGCCTTCTTGGCCAGAAGTCTGGAAACAGATGAAAGTACCTGCCGGAACAGAAGCCAAAACCCACTTTGAAGGATGAGTTATCTATAATGCGGATGTGGGCCATCTTTGCTGGTCAGGGGGCTTCCCATTCTATCTTTGGCCCTTGGAGGACCACCGTCTCACCCGCACCCAATACCACCCATTTCCCCCCAACGTATTTTTTGTAAAAAAAAGGCTTTTGAACAACTGAAAAGAAGCTTCCTAGGAAAAGCTCTCTTGCACTCTCGAGTGGCCACCATGTGTGGGGGCTCCCAGGCTGCTGGGGGGTTCACACGAGAGTTTTTCCCCTGTACCCCCTATGCAGCACAAGCGCCTTCCTCCTTTAAAATAAACACCAGAAACGGAGTGCTGGGGGACTGCGTCAGGGCTGCACGTTGTGCGCCTCGGCGGTCAGGCGTAGAGATGCATCGAGGTGGTTCGTAGCTACCACCGAACCACAAATGGCCCGCCAGACCCCGGAAAAACAAACCGGTTTGTGGTTCATTTTTCATTCAGTGTCTGGGGGAAGGGGATTGATCCTAACTCCTCCGGTTCGGTTCTGAGTCCATTCTGGGTCCTTTTTTTAAAGAGTGGACCCTCCAGGCCCGAGGGACACGCCCCCCCCGTGGATCTGTTCTGTTGCCACTTTGCTTTTCTGCCAGCAACCTGCGAGGCAGCCCTCCAGCTTCTGTTCCGAAGCGAAGCCTCCTCTCTGATCATCATCAGCGCCTTGTAGAGGAATGCAATTGCCTGCCTTTTAAGGGCTTGAATGGGAGATGATTGCGGGCTGGCCAGAAGAAGGGATGCTTGAATAGAACCGGCAGGCGGGAAGCGAGGCAAATGCTTTTAAAAGGGGGCTGGAAAACACTGCAGCTCACGAATATCCATCAACGGAGAGCAGACGCTGACTTTACTATGGGGATGACCCACAAGATTGTGCCACCTGCGGCCGAGAGCACATCGCACACGCCAACGTGAACAGAGAGGTGCTTTTGACTCTAACACTCACCATGCCTGGAGGTGGGAGATGGCATTTCAGTTGGAATAGAACTCTTCGAACCACCATCCTCTTACAACAGCAGTGCTGGAAGGGACCCCATGGGATCATCCAGTCCAGCCCCTTGTCAAGAAGGCCCCACGGGGGAATTGAACTCCCAACACCTGAGCTAACCAGCCAAACTAATACAAGTAAAGGAAATCATCGACTGGCATTGGCAAACTTAAGAGCTCACTCTGAGATGTGGGTAAGAGAAAGAATAAAAAGTTTCATTCACTCACAGATGGAACAGATCAAAAACAGCATCCTGAACAGAAAAAAGACTGCTTACAGCAGCAGGCTTCAACAGACGCACAGCCTCCATCCAGTCAGACTCCTGCAGACTACACTCACATGATAACGGGCTAAAAAAGAGAGGGAAAAAGACACTTAAGCAGAGAGGTGTGGCTCTCTTTGAAATCAGAAGGAACCATGGGTTACTGCTTGATGGATGGACAGCCACCTCTACCCAGAAA